GACAGTTGAGCATTGGAAAAAAGTCATGTGGTCCGATGAATCACGTTTCCAGTTCCATCATGCAGATGGCAGAGTGAGAATTTGGCGGAAACCGCATGAAAGCATGCACCCCACATGCACGAGTACAACCCTTCAAGCTGGTGGGGGCATGTTTTCCTGTCATGATTTGGGCCCTTTAATTCGTGTGGAGCAATGTCTGAATACCAACATACCAAAGTATCGTTGCTGATCAAATTCATCCTATCATGTTTATGGCATATCCCAATGGAGATGGCTTCTTCCAACAAGACAATGCGCCATGCCACGGTGCTTGTATTGTGCAGGAGTGGTTTCAAGAACATGAGGGAGACTTTACCTTGCTTAGGTGGCCCCCACAATCACCAGATCTCAATCCAATTGAGCATTTGTGGGACGAAGTTGAAAGAGCCATCAGGCAGCTGGTTCCACAACCATCAAATCTCACAGAACTGGACAGTGCTATTCATCAGGCATGGTGTCAGATTCCTCGCATCACCTTTCAACATCTCCATGGCATGTAATCTATGTGTAGACTTCCAACATTAGACAGTTAGCACAAAAAAAGTTCCCTTCCTTTTTGAGACCTGAGAAAGCATATAATGTGCTCCCCTGCCCCCAAACACAACCGTTGTACCTACCTTTTTAGACTTAGGAGAAATTACATGATAATATGGTCCTTTTTGGTGCTAAGTTTCACTGTTGCCAGCAGCAGCAACAAGGTTTTGGTGGCCAGGAGATGTGGTGAAAACATGCTTTTTCCCTCCACTGAAATCCTACTTGCCTCATTTGCTTTCACAAGTAAACATGTTCTTAACTCAAAATCACACATTGGTCACTGTTGCTAAGGGAAGCCAGGTACAGTGCAGTGCTGTAGAAAATATATATGCAAATCTCCTGGTATTGTTTAAAAACCTGCACACAATGGTCTTCAAAAGAAATCAAACTTTATTCCACATGCATCTATACAAAAAACAACTGCTGACATGTTTCTGCCTTACTCAGCCTCAGCCTTAGTCATAGCTAGTTGTGAGCAAACACCAATCCCCTAAAATAGCATGCCACATAGGGCGGGAAGAAGCACTTAGGAGCACCTGTATCTAAAGGGCACTTAAAATGATGGGTAAGCATCATCAAACTCGGACATATAGTAAAACCCACAGTAACAGTGGGAACATGGAACACTGAAATATTCTATGCCAATCACAAATTGTTTAAAATACCCACAGCAGCATGCAATACACACAACAGTCTCTCTAAAAGGCTAAAGGTATTGGTGGATAGGTTAAAGACCTGCAATAGACACCACAAGCCCTGCCAATTTTCACTTCCTGGCTTCCTCAAAGGATGTGATTATAGATCTCCACGTATGCAAAAGGTTAACTCTTGCAGTTGGGCTACCCCCCGCACTGCAAGGATTTACCGCTCATTTTTCTCTAGGGACTGGAATAAAGAAGATACAGTATGATCACCTGATCCTCGATCCTGAGGTGATGAATGCTCACCTATGCCCCCACTGTTCCGGCTGTGGTATGGACTGTGGGGACCGGTCTAGCAGCCAAGTGAGATCGAGGATTAGGTGAGTATATTTCTTTTATTTGAGCCCCTAGACCAAACAGAGCAGTTAACCCTTGCAGTTTGGGGGTAGCCCCACTGCAAGGGTTAACTTTTTACATTTCTGGAGTTCCTCTTTAAAGTGAAACTACAGCCTCCTATCACTTACAGGCAAGGAAGGTGCCATCTTGGCTTCTTTTGGATTGTGGTTGCCATTGTGCTGCACACGTGATCAGCTATGACAACAGCCATTTGAGGGCTTGGAAGTACGGTTGAAAGCTGAAATAAGAACATTAGAAACCTTGACAGTTGGCATGCCTTAAAAGTAACTTGGAAGACATATTAAATTGGTGGGTAAAATTCATCTTTTAAGCAGAGAATTAATTGTTTCCATTTAACACTATTTTTACCTCCATTGGAGTTGATTGCTTGCATGTGTGCACTGCACAGCAACTTGGTTACTTTGTGCATTACAGGTTGCTATTTTAGTTACTGTAAAGCTGCTATTTGTATTATTTTTAACCCTTGTAGTGGTGCTACGTGTGCACTGCAAGGGTTAAATGCTCATTTTCCTCTAGGGTAACATAAAGATAAACTCACCTGAATCTCACATGTGGCTGGCTGTTAGACTTGTCCCTGCAGCCTTTTTCCCCCCCCGTTTCGGTGGCCTAAGGTCCTGTGAGTCATCACGTCCTGTATATAGTATATTGGACATGAGGAGTCAGGCTGCAGGGACCAGTCTAGCAGCCAGTCGGCACCGTGGTTCAGGTGAGTGTTTCTTTGTTATTTTACACCCCATATGAAAACCAGCACTTAACCTTTGCAGTGAGGCTACCCCCAGACTGCAAGGGTTAAGAATAATTGTGCCCAGAGTTCTACTTTAAAATACAGAGAATGGCATGGTAAATTACTGGTGGGAATGTGCTACAGGCCACCAAATATTGGGAAAGAGGAGGAGACCGACCTACTGTCACAGGTGGGACAAATGGTGGAAACCCCAACTAGGAAGAATGCCCTGCTTTATTTATTAATTACAAACAACACAGAACTGAAAAGAGATGTAGAAATCGGGGATAACCTAGGGAATAGCGATCATAAAAGGATTACGTTCACAATAAACTACAGGAAACATAGATGAGTTAGCACAACAAGAACGCTAAACTTGAAAAAGGCTTACTTTTCATAAGCTCAGATACCTGCTACGTGACACTAATTGGGACCAAATATTCATGAATATGAATACAAGAAATAGTAATGTTTCAAGGACATTTTAAAAACAACATTCACCAGTGCATTTAATTAACTAATAAATTCAAAACCGCAACGTTAAACCAAAGTGGTTAACTAACAGGGTAAAGCAGTATATTAAAGAGAAGAATAGGGCCTTCAAAAAAATACAAGTCAGATGGGTCAAGATCGGCATTCAAATACTATAAAGAATGCACCAAAAGATATTAAAAAAAAGAATTGGGGCAGTGAAAATATAGTTTGAAGAACACATGGCACCTGAAAGCAAAAGAAACCCCAAGAAATGTTTTAAATAGTGGGGGCGTGTCCAAGATGGCGACCGGAGCACATGTGTAGTCACTGAGCTCTGCCACCTCCTCTTTTATCCTGTGACTTTTGGAGCTGCAAGACAGTACCATTCGGCCTGGTTGGCTGCTACTTTCGCCCTGGTTCTGAGGGCATGACTGGGGGGGACACATCAAACCCCCTCCGGCCGTGCAGGAGCTGCCTAGTGGCAATATGGCCACCCGGAGAGAGGGAGACGCGGAGGGTCTCACTAGCCGAGCCCAGTTCGCTGCTGTGATGGCTGCTATTTCTGGATGCCAGACCACGCTGACTACCAAGATCGATCACTTGCAATCGAATGTCGGCCTGCTGCATTGGGACCTGGACCGGGTCCATGACCGGATGTCGTAGGTGGAGGGCAGGGTTAGTGGAATGGAGGTTACAATAAAAGACCATACGGCCTCCTTGTGTACCCTGCAGACCAAGGTTAAGGCCCCGCACTGTGCATCATCGTAAAAGCGATCGGCCGGTAATGGCTGTTCAAATTCTCGACGGGACTCTGCTCAGTCGTGCGAGAGCAGAAAAAAAAATCACGTACATGTACGTCCACCCACCGAGCAGCATCCGCAAGGGGTTAAGGCTGCCAAGACGCATGGCCCAGATGGCTTCCAAGTTGAGTTCTATAAAACTCATGCTATGGGTATTGCTCTATGCTTACTTAGCACCCTAATGGAGGCTCTGAGGACAGGCGCTCTTCCCTCGATGATGGAGGCTACTAATGTAGTGTTAGCGGTAAAGATCCTGATCAATCAAACCTGATTCTATTTCCCCTTATGCTCCCTTATGGGGTAATCCGCTTTTGGGGCATTTTCGGTTTATCCATGATCCCCAGGCTTGGACACAATATGGTATAAAGCTTGTCAAACATATTATGCAGAGGGGGTGCTGCTGGGTTTTGACAGACTCCGGACTCGATATATGACCTATCCCCTGTCATTTTTTCAGATATTTGCTAATGCCTCATGCTTTTAGGTTCCAATTTCCTTGC